GGCCTGCGCCAGCATGTGGAGCAACTGCAGCTGCACGATCAGCACGATTACAGCCTGCTGCTGATCAGCAGCCCGGATGAGGTGCGTGTGCTGCGCGTGAATCACACAAATTGCAGCCTCAGCGATTGGCAATCGGTGCAGCCCGCCGCCGCTGGCCGGCTAATGAAGCTCATCCAGGTGGAGGACCAAACGAAGGGCAACATCTCAACTCTGCTGCTGACGAACGGACTGCAGCAATTGGAGCATCTGCCGGTGCTGGCAGTGCATCGCCTGGACGCACAGAGCCAACGCTTCGAGCTGCTGCAGCACATCGAGGGCGACTACGATCTGGCTGAGTTGCAGTACGGGCAGCTGCTGCTCAGCTGCCACAGCTGTCGCCACATCTCCATTTACAGCTACAATCCGACGGCACAGCTCTTTGTGCCGCTCCAGCAGCTGCACTTGGCCGCACGCATCCAGCAGCTGCTGCCCTTCACCGTTGGCCAGGAGCGTCACTTGCTGGTGCTGACGCTGCCCGGCTCCAAGCACTTCCATCTCTTCAGCTACGCCCACATCGAGGGCTGGCAGCAACGCACCTACGGCCACATGGCCGACTTCCAATGGTCCTGGCCACTGATACGCTCTGGCCAGCAGCTAACCACCTCCACCTCTGTGCTGCTGCTCTGCGGACAACGTTTGTGCAGCCTGGTCAAGGCGCTGCTCGATTAGCATCGATGTCAGATTAGAGTTATTAGGGCCATTCCATTCTTTGTTTCCATTTGTTTCAAATTGAGTGTTAATTGTTGCTACAATTAATATTAGGCAGTTTATTAGTTTGTTATCTCTTCGATTGTATAAATCAATTTTCTGTTGTCGTAGTGGGAATTAGGGGTATTCCAGGCATGTTATGAATGAGCTAAATTCGGCAAGTTAAGTGTCTTTGAATTTATGTAGATATATATATATATATATATATATATTTAGTACATATATATATTTAGTTAATGTTTCGAGTGTTATGGAATTTCAGTTTACTTTCTAGTGGAGTAGCCCTAAGAAATATATAGTTATATATTGCAGGACTAGCTCTTATACATAGTACTTCTCGATTAGAGCTCGTGTAAAATTATTGTTAAATCTCTAAATATGTCTATCTATTCATCTGTTCCGTTATCAGCTAAATTTAGAATAAGTGTTATACAAATTTAGAGAATATCCCTAATGAATATATAAACAAATATTTACAAAAAAAAAAAAAAAAAAAAAGGATATAACAATTGTTAATCCTACTTAGAAATCAATGTATATAAAATTTAAAATATAAAAAAAAAATAAAAATAAAAAAAATAATTAAAATAGAAAAAAAATATATATAATCATATTAATTTTGTATATTCTATGGCATACCCCTAATAGCAATTATCACATTTTCCTACAAGTTTCCGCTCTAAGATTTCAGATATTTGTAAATGGCATATTCACTGTACAGTAGAGCCTAGACATTGAGGCGCTTGCAACTGCACTTGATCACATAGAGCGTGAAGGCCAGCAGACCCAGAATGCCCCAAATGGAGCTGTTCTGGTTGGAGCCGTCGCCGATCTGTGACCGGATCCAGTCGACGTGGCTGGCGACATCGACGAAGACGGACGACTGGCTGCGCAGGCCGAGCAGCTGATTGGCCGTGGTCAGTGGAGCGCCTGCATCCAGCTCATATGCCTGCTCGTCGTACTTCACGCAGAGCTGTTGGCCGCAGGGCGAGCGCTTCACGCACAGCCGCAGCAACTCGTGCACCTCGTGCCCATCCTCGCCAGCCAAGCCCCAGCTGCTGATGTGCCACGGCTCGGATGTCATCTCCAGCTGGGCGGTGTTCACGGACAGCGCAATCGGCTGGATGCGCGTGAGATGCGCCGAAACATCCTGCTCGAGCATGAGTATGGCCAGGGACAACTGCTTGGGCGGCTTGTGTACGTGAGTCACGCCCAGCACCTGGCCATGAGCCGTGGGCGAAAAGCGCTGAGTGCTGCCCAGCACAACGCGCAGCTCCGCTGGATGGTAGAATCTCATGTTGTCCTGGCTGCAAAAAAAAAATAGAATTAGTCTGACTCCAATGCACAGCAGCAGCTGGACACCTACTCATAGACGCACTGCGCCACAGTCAGCACCACGGAGGGAGCCACCAGTGCACCCGAGCAGATGTGACCCTTGCCAAAGTAGTCCAGCTCCTGGTCGAGCAGCCGTATGGAGGCCTGATACGGTGCCGCTGATGCGGACGAGCCTATGCGGCGCTTCTTAGCCACCTCCGAGTGTGTGTAGGCTGAAAGAGCGAGAAGCAAAGGAACGTGTAGGTTAGGTTAGTTAGGTTAGGGGCCTCTAAGATTGCCTCGCATATGCCAAGTGACTAGACTTTAGGGCTTCTGCTTAGGAACTCTTATAAACCTAGTCTCTTTAATATACTTTCAAGGAAACCAAACTCAGCCGTAATTCGTATATCTTAATCCGTAATCCGTTAGCCGTAAGCCGAACCACTAAGATATTTCACATGAATTCATAAAACTTAGATATCATCAATAAATTTCTTCAGTTAAAGTAAAGGTGAAAGTAAAGTTGCCCCATTGATTATCGAAAAGTTTCTGAAGTGGCCTTGGCAACAGGTGAAATGCATTTTATATGGAGTGATCCATGGCGTTGGGTTTATCAATATCAATGCGAGCGACTCAGGCGCATTCCCCCATCAGCTGATCGATTGTTTACGAAATTTTTGTTGTTCTATTCGTTTAGTTTGGGGTCTTGGTATTATCGCACGATAATAAAAATTTTTGACGCGCGTGCCTTACGACTGTGCCTATCAATAGTTATTGGTCAGCAAATACGCCGGAAACTACGAAATGGCTATTTGTAGTTTGGCCTTCAAGTATGTCACAGTCAAAACAGCTGAGCATAGCTATAAGACTTGACGTAGTGGCTGGCCACTGCTCTATAATATCCAATATTAGTATTATCTATTCATAGCTTGGAGAGATTTCTGTGGACTACAATCAATTTTAATTAATATTCTCGTGTCTTTTATCTAGATATATGCCATAGATTTAAAAAAAAATTATTTAAATTAAAAGACCTCAAATTCTTAAAATAAAATTGCATTCAAATTGAGATTTCTAGAAAACATATTTTGACTAAGGGCAAAGTCTGCCGAGTATGCACGAATATAATAAAAAATGTTAATTTACATATATTCTATACAGCGATAAGCGCATACCACCCTGGAAATATTTTAAAACCGATTATATTTAAGATTTCGTAACACCCAAACCCGATTAAATTGCTCAAGCATTATATTATATTATGTATATACATATATGTTTATTATAAGAAATTCTAAGTTTTTAATCCAAGCCTTTAATAGAATTTTTCTATAATTTTTCACGTATTCAGAAATTTCTATTTCAAATATTAGAGTTCAAATTTGAATTAAAAAAAAAAAAAAAAAAAAAAAATATATAACAGTTATTTTTAATAAATCTAGTATTAATAAATCCATTACTGTATTCGACTTACTTGTTTGCATTTCGGCGCATAGAAATGCAAAAATCAAAATTTTGAGAATCCTCTTGATCTGATCGTTGAGTTGCATCGTTCAGAATAATTTGAGCTCGGATTTTGGATTATTATTATTAGAACGGATCGGCAGACACTTAACACTAGGCGGGGCACTGCTCGAGCGGCTTTCGGCCAGATAGTGCGCACCTTTAGAGAGAGCCGAACGCTGAATGAAATAGTTCAATTCTAAATCGCACGAAATCAAATTCGCAAACGCTTTTCCTCCAGATAATTCAATATTTCATTTGATTTCGGTCGATGTTTATTTCTATACACTTCCAAAAGGGCATTTTTGACTTTTCTTGCAGTATGTGACGCACATGTAAACATGGCCTTCGTCTAGATCTGTCTCTGAGAAAATATATAGGCACGGGGGAGCCAACACCAATCCATCTCTTTCTCTCTTATCGTTCATTAACATTCTCTTTCTCCATCGCTCTCTCATTTCCTCATCTCGCTCCCTCTTACTTGTTCTTAGTTTGTTCCTTAGTCTCCCTCTCTCTTTCTTACTTTCACTCTCTCTTCCACAGCCTAACTTCTCTGTACATATATCATGTTTCTAAAAATCGGGAAGAGTATTTTCCCTTCCTTATGTTAAGGTTGATCTTTTCTTCTGTTTTTTTGTTTATATGTTTATATGTACTGATAAAGTCACAACATGCCATAAAAAAACATTCACACACACACACACACACGCAATAATAATCGCAATTGATAAGACCTCAGATTATTTATTATTATTTTCTTCTTTTTTGTTTTCTTCGATTTCTTACTTTGTTTATTTCGTTTTTTATTTATATTTAAATTGCGATCAGTGCACTTGAAGTTGGCAACATGGCTAACGATTTGCTATACCCTGCACTTATGTAGAAGACGGACTGAGTATCAATGAATCTAGGAATAAAGGTCAGGTCCACTCTTATTAGTAGAATTGCCTTGGCTTAAAATAACATGCACTTAACATATAGTTGGCATGCACTTATGATAACATGCAATTAACATCATATATATATGCTTAACATACACTTAACATGTCTCTGTTAGTAGTAGATTGTCAATCCTTAAGCATAAGCCATGATATAGACACAGTCACAATATCAATCAAAGATTTATAAAATTCCACCATTTAGATTAGTAAATGTCTAGAGAGCACATAATCATCGCCATGCTCTGATCTGATAGTTCCCTATGGTAATATCACAATGGAACTCTCCTATCAACTACCAGCTAATCACATACGTTCGTTTCGTAAGATAGTGTGATTGAAAGACGTTTACATAGCTAAATTGCATTCGACAAGCGATTGTCGATCGCCGATAAGAATTATGAATTGCCCAACAGGTAGCTGGAACAGCATTGGCTGGTAGAGTATGAGCTATGAAATACCCTGTACACTTGTGCAGGTTTATCAGGTTCTTGGTTGTTTTTCAATTTTTCACTCCAAATTTTTATTTAAATCAAAGATAAATGATAAAACACAGTTTTTCCAATTATAACACGAAATGGAATTTTGAGCGGTTTGATAATGGGATATTCTAAAGGTCAAGAAAAATAACAGTTTAAACGATTATCGTCGCCTCAGATAGATAGGACTTTGTCGGACTATTAGTAATTGTTTTTGTTTCGTCGCACACTGATAAGGAAGGTATAAAATATGATGAGTTTCCCACTTCAACAAGCTTAAACGATTTGTACTCACGCAATGGAATCGAGCACAAGATCCTAAAAGTAGGCTACTCATGGCATTGTATGATTCATATCATGTGGATTGCTAGAAGCGGTATATGGTGAACAGGAATATGGAATATAAATGCATGTTAGATGGCTTGAAGGCTTTGGCGCCCCCCATCGCCTTGGTGGCATCTATGGCATCCGTTAGGTCTTTAGAATCCGGACCACCGTCAAAATCATTATCGTCCCTATCGGAATCCAGGTCCCGATCTTCCCGATCTTCCCGATCGGCTTCCTCATCCGAATCAGCTTCTTTTTCGACTGCCTGTCGCTGCTCACGTATATCGTAGCGCTTCACAAACTCGTCTATCCAGGCTTTGTAGTGATGCACGCTGGTGTAGATGCCCGATTGGTTGGGCACGCCGCAGCGGATTCCCCACGAGCTGATGCCAACCAGCTGCCCCTGGCAGAGCAGCGGTCCCCCACCATCAGCGGTGCAGGCCGCCAGCTTGGTGTCGTTCGTATTTTCCACACAGATCATGCCCGGTTGCAGGTCGACCTGTTGGCAGGCTGGCTGCTCGATTAGTGTCACATTTAGCTTGACCAAATGGCCGAGAAAGTATTCCACTTGATCGTTGTTCCAGGCGGAGATCTGGCAGTGGGTTAGCGGCTGTGCCGTGACCGTAGTCATCTGAACGGGACGTATAAATGGCGGCACTGTACCGTTGAGGTGAATCAATGCAATATCCTTGTCATAGCTCTTCATGTTAAACATCGTCATCAGCACCGCCACCTCGTCCACTCCAAAGGTCAACGGCTTATCGTTGGGCATCAGCAGGTGCTTCTTGTCCAGCACAACAATGAAATTCGACTTGTCCAGGAAAGTGCCATCCATGCTCGTTCGACTGAAAAACACACACACACACACACACAATTAGAGCTTCAGCTGTTGCCTCAGACGAATATCAACCACATACTCCATGAAACAATGCGCCGCAGTTAGCACCACATTGTGGCTAATCAGCGAGCCACCGCACACATGACCAGCGCCATAATGAGAGTCATTCGTTTGCTTCCGTCGCAGAGAAACAAAGCTATCGGTGTTCAATGGGTTCTCCACATCCCACCTGAGATCCTGATTCGCTATGATCTCCTCCGTGGACATTTCTCCCGTCTGCCCCGACTCGGTCACGCCCAGCGAGCTGCACAGCACAATTAGAAACAATCCAAGTGCATTCATCTTACCTTCCAAGCGTATATTCACAATTGAATTCATATTTTTTAGCTCCGAAAAAAAAATATATATATATTTATTTATAATAAATGGAACACAATAGTTTGACTGACTATATGAGACTGATTCGTTCTCGTAGAAATCCGTACACATCAACATTCATGGCAAGCGAAAAGCAAACTAGATCGGAAACTTATTAAGAGACAACTAGATGATAGGAGTTCTCCAGTTGCTATGAAACCCCCAGAACCCTGAAACAACCTGATATTTTATTCATTTCACGCTTCCTTTCTCATATTTTCGATATAGATAAAATCCAGTTAAATATTTGATTTATTGACTATATACACTGAGCTCATTGAATATGCAAATTCTAGCTCTAGTCAAAATGCTTGAAATCGATAAATATCGATATTATTTGGGTTGTAGAGCGTAAGCCTAAATTTTCTGTGATGAATTTCTGATACCTGCCTTCAAAATTTGCGAATGTATTTTTGGAACTGCAGCTCTACGCCGGGCTCAACCGGCCACTGGTAACTGGAGCACTCGTTCTTCATGTTTTATTGAGTTCCTTTTACAGACTAGACTTACGACTAAGACACGTGGCATAGGCCGAGCAGCACAGGCACTGCAATGCTCAAGCCGAATGAAAATGTAATGATACCGACGCCATCGCCCTCTCCCTCTCCGCTTCCCTCACCACTTCCTTCTCCACTTCCCTCTCCACTTCCCTCACCACTTCCTTCTCCACTTCCCTCTCCACTTCCTTCTCCACTTCCTTCTCCACTTCCCTCTCCACTTCCTTCTCCACTTCCCTCTCCGCTTCCCTCTCCGCTTCCCTCGCCGCTGCCCGACTCAGAGATATTCTCGATTATCCAGTCGTAGTAGTAAGAGACATCGGTGTAAACGCCTGGAAGCATGGGCTGGGCACAGCCAATGCCCCAGGAGACAATGCCCGCCAGTTGGCTTTGACAGACGAGGGGTCCGCCGGAGTCACCGTTGCAGGCATCACGCTCTCCTTCCATGTAGCCGGCACAGATCATGCCGGGCAATATTAAGTGACCCAGGCCGCTATCGTTGATGCACTGCGTCTCACTGATTATGGGCACATCGACGGTCATGAGTAAATCGGGACTGTAGCCCTCCTCGGTGTAGCCCCACCCTGTGACCTGGCACACGATTCCACTCGGCACCGTTAGAGCAGTCAGTCCAATGGGTCGTATCGTGGGATGATAAGCCGGCACTGACCCACTTAGAAAAACCAGTGCGATGTCCTTGTCGTATGTCGACAAATCAAATTTTTCCAGCTGGAACATCAGCTGCTCAATGTCAAAGGTTAAAGTGTTGGCCTTCTCGAAGCGATCCAAATTGCCCATGACCACAATGATGTCCTCTTTGGGCAGAAAGGTGCCATCGTAGATATCCTGACTGGAATGAGAAGAGCAAAGGCAAGAAGTAATTGAATATGCGTATCTGGATGCTTGACTAGACGAATCAGTTCTCAATATAATGTGGATAGGTCAGATCAGATCAGGGCTAGTCTATACGATGTACGAAGCAACTACTAGGGTAAATCAATACGAGCATCGCATAGAGCAATCTATATGTAGTTGATTACGCACAAATTGTTCGATTGTTTTGCTTGGCTCTATGACGTATATCAATCCTATCCTATGACGATCAGTTAGCAGCTATCAGGTGTAAGGCTTCAGCTGGACTGATCAGATTGGTAGCAAGCTGTCTTTGCTTGAGCTTTAGCTGCTATACATATAATGTATAATGATGCGGTATTTCGATTGGGGATCGGCTGTAGTGAAATCCTTGCTTGTACTTACTCCACGAAGCAATGGGCAGCGCTGAGGACCACATTGGGCTTGATCAGGGAGCCGCCGCAAATGTGGCCGGTGCCAAAGAAGTAGCCATCGTTGAGGCGACGTCGCAGGCTGGCCTGGTGCCTGGTGGCCTCCATGGAGGCCTCGGTGCCATTGATAATCCGGCCCGGATCCACGTTGAATCTGGAGCGCATCAGCGGTGAGCTCAGTCGGCCGCCTAAACACGCGCAAAGGAAATGATTTTGAGAACTGATTTTTGAACTGCATCCGGATCAGACATACCATCCGCTGGCAGACAGATGCTAAAAAGGATCGTCAACGCGATCATCAAAAGCCGTTCGGCAGCCATTGGGAGTCTTCGTATTTGCGACACAAGCTGACAACGTCAACTAACTGCGCGGACAATCATGGCTAAAAGCACTGGGCCATCCATCGATCGCTAGTCAGTCGGTATCGTCACAATTAAATCTGGCGATACATGAGCGACATAATCTAATCAGAGCAGAGCGAGCATGAACCGGGCCATGGCTAAGGGGTGTGATAGACTATCTTGATAAATTCTTTGCAATTGTACACTTTCAAAATTATTGAATGGATTTCCCCAAATGAACTGCCCTATCAATAGGTTTAACACCAAATCAATGAAGATTTATAGATCCAAGCGCGTGGAGTTCTTGCAGCCAAATGAAGATAACGCCAAGAGAATGTTCCTCGACTCTATCATGGTATGATATGACATGATATGATATGATATGACATCATATGGCATGATTTGACATGATATATATGTTTTTCAGCCTCAGCTCATCAACCGATAGGGAGACCAGAGGGCTTGGCCGATAATTTAGAATGTATATACTCTCACTTTTCGTTCAGTATCTCTTCCTAGGGTATTAAGTAAACATTAGATCGCATTTTTGATGGTTTCTAAAGTATCTACCACTTGTCCTTGCTCGCAGAGTTCTAGGAAAATACCTGACGATATTTATTATTATTTCATAATATTTCAATTTAAATTAGTACAGAATATCAATAAATAAATAAATAATTGTAAGAATAAAAAAAAGCCTATGATTGATTGACGCACTTACCAACCACGTGACCGAGTAACGAGCAAAGCTAATAGCATAAATAGAAATACGTATATAAAAAACAGTTTTGTAGAGAAGACAAATGGATTGGCCATTTGGCATTAACAGTTGACATAAAATTAATATAAGTGATGGGACCACACTTTCATAGGACCTCCCAAAACCAGAGCCACCACACGGAGAACTCGAAATATACATATATAAATTAAATTTATGCATATGCAAAAATATATTACAATAAAAATTGATTGATTGATAAAAACTGATGAATGTAGCATTACTTTTAGTTTCATTTACAAAATATATTGTCATATTGATTTAATGATATCAAAAATGTATTTACAAACTTGCTTGAATAAAAAGAACTTATGTAAATTGCATAATATAAATTACATAAATAATAGCATATCTAAAATATGTATATATTAAAATGAACAATAAATTTAAAATATATTATCAATTACAGGCAATAATTGTTACAAGTTACATAATAATTATGTACAATTTATAATACATATTACATTAATAATTATATATAATATATATAATATAATTTGCTAATTTAGATCAATAGATCTTACAACTTATATGCATTTGGTCAGCATCAGCTATGTGTATAAACTGACATTCAATAAAAAAAATTTAACAAATTTTGAAACAACTAAAAATATTGCAGTGACCAGACATTGTTCTGTAGTTTGAAAAGAGTGAGCGAGATAGAGTGATAGAGAGGTAGAGCTTTAAATATTGCCATCTTCATCGATTCTAAGCGATTTGATGTTCTTCAAGAATTTGTTTGGTTTGCTCTTCCGTGCGATTGATCAACTGCATTATTTCATCCAGCTCTGTTTTAGCCATTTCGTCGTCTGGACTTGGCTCCTCCTTGATCCCGGCTACCATTGACTCAACTTCAGCCTTGACTGATTCGGCTTTGATCTGACCAAACATGGCATCCAATTCGGATTCCTGACTTTCACTACTCTTGTATTGAAGCTGTGGAACACGACGACGCTGCAGCACCTTACGTTCCACGTGTTGTTTACCTGTTTCCATTGCCTTGCGCTTTCTGCAATCGAAACGGACATTGAATGCTTTGGATTTATAGCTTGAATTGCATTTGTTTTGGCTAACCTGTTGCGTGGACTTAAGCATTTGGCAGCCACGCTAGTGGAGCAGCCCGCTGATTCACTTTTGATGGTGGATGTGGCCGTTGGTATATCGTCAAGTTTGAGATCGTCAGGCTCAAAGGCAGCCACAGTTGACAGCAGCTGTTTATTCTGTGCACTGAAAGCCTCCACGTCGAAGGGCTCCGTTGCCACAGTAGCTAAATGGCATAGATAAGCATTTTTATAATTATTATCAAATGCACTAAATTCTAGTCTTACTCCTCCAATGGCGAGCACCATCCCGGCGATATTGCTGAACTTCTATATCCTTTTTCTTAACAATATCCAACAAGTAGTGTACATTTTTGCTTAGACTGGCGGCTGTATACAGTGCATTCTTCAACATGTGACGATAGAACTGCAAAAGTAGGTGAACTCATATAAATTGATCATGAATCAATCTAATCTATCTAGACTACATACTGTTAGTAGGACACTGTCCGTGGACGTCAGGTGCCACTCCCATTTCAGAGGCGCCGGCGTGCCTTCAATGCGATACTTCAAACTAAGCACCGTGCGCTGCTCCAGCTGCTCGTCCTGGTTCAGTTCCTGCTGCTGTTCCGCACCATTCTGTGAGGCTGCTCGAAATGTAGCATCTGCTGGCTGGGCGCTGCTTAAGGCCGTACGCACGGCTTCTGCTGGAAACTCCACGCGTTTGTTTAATTGCTGTTGTAAATGCTTGACAGTGTTAGTCATTTGACCATTGATTAATAAAGCAATAGAGCGGGCAGCAGCTCACCTTGATGCGCTGCAGGAACTCGGCAACAGGCAGATTTTCAGTGTAGCTCAGCTCCTTACGTTGATCGTGGCAACAAAACTGCAGAACCTTGTCTTCGTCAGCGGAGCCATCTATTAGGCAGCTCATCAAGTGTACATCCCTTAACTTAATCATATTTAAATGCATATCTGAGAACAATACTTATGATAATCGAAATTTGTATAGCAAACAAATATACAAGACAACAGAAACAGCTGATAGGCGACATTGGTGAATCTTTTAGTTCGCGCAAATCGAAACTCGCGAACTGGAACTGGTCGCAAATGTTAAGTGAACGGTAACTTATCGATAACTCTGCAGTGGTAGATAGAACGCGCGTCCGATTTAAAATGCGATTTGAAAATTTTTCAAAGAATTTATTTATACGCAGACGTGTTAGCTCTGACAGCGATTTCGTTCTGTTTATATTTTTGTTTGTCGATTGTAAATCAAACAACACTTTTGTAATATTTCATGTGATTTTGTTTTAATCATATAAAGTTTATATGTAATACTTTTGTTTTTGTAATATTATCAAAAAATTGTGTACTTTCGTTATTTGTTTAATTCATATATGTATATATAATTTTTAGTTGATTTTTTTTGTATCCCCATTAAGTTATATTTTTGAAAAACTAATTTAAATTGTATTTAAATTTCACTACTGACACAAAATAGCTACTTCACTCACATTGAATGTTAGATAATACCACTCTAATACAATACACAATATATATATATAAGTGTATGTATATATGGATTTATATATATATATATATATTCAAACAGTTTTATAACATGCAGAAAATGATGAGGAAATCTTAAAATATTTTCTTCATATTTTTTTGTTTTCCTTTCGATTATCTTAAACTAGCCTCACGCTTAACTTAACTGTCTTTTTGTTGAATGTTTTTTTGTTTGTTTGTTTTGTGGGTATATAGACCATAAGTATATTAGCCTATCGAAATTGTGCTTAACACTAAGATTAGATCAATCTGGGTCGACGTTTGAGATTTTTCAACACCTTCGTTGGTTTTCATATCTGCGGACGCGTCCAGAGCTCACTGAGATCCTTTTGCCGCAGCTTGCCCAGCTCTGCAAAGGTGGAAAATGTGATAATTAGTAATATATACGATGGTGGATGGATGGATATATGTATATGCTTACCCAGTGGGGTGGGTAAAACGTTGCTGCTGCGGAAACTCAGATCGAATCGCGGCTGCACCGACAGCTGGCTGCCTGCGGAGGAGGCGACGGAATTGCGGAAAGTGGTGCCGCTGTCGTAAGAAGAAAAAAAAATAATAATAATATATATATATATATATATATGTAACATATCTATATATATAATCGAAATAATATATCAGACCTACCTATAGGGATGCTTCAGACAGCCGTAGACCTCGCGATAGCGCCCGTAGAGCGTTCCATAGGAGACGCCCAAGATGCGAGCCGCCTTCTTCATTTCAAGTCTTTTGTTTTTGATGGCATCAAGTACCTGTACGAGATGTAAGAGACATTAGATAAGCTCTCATTAGATAAGCACTGGACAAGTGTTGGATGTACTCACGCGCTTGGTGAATGGCTCCTCCCAGAACTGTGGACGTCGCCCCTTGGCCAAATAGTCATCCATTTTGATGACATCCTGCCACTGGGTTAGCTCCTCGTTGGTCAGCCGCAGCTCAGCTGCATCGTAATCCTCCAGCTTGACCTCGGCATAGTCGCCGGCATGCTCGATGCCACTTGCAGACGCATTGTTGTTGTTGTTGTTGTTGCTGCTGCTGTTGTTGTTGTTGTTGTTGTTGCCGCTGCCGCCGCTACCATTGGCAGTGGCAACAGCAACAGCTGCCGCTGCCGCAGCGGCCGCAACCGCAGCGCTGGCCACCGCATTGGGCGCAAAATCGTGTGCCATTAGCATGCCATGATCGTTGATCAAGTACTTGCCACCAAAGCCGGCAGCCGGCAGCAGAGCTGGCGAATCGGCTCGATTTGCCACCAAATGCTCATTCTCGATCTCCTCGACGGGCTTTGGCAACGCGTCGGCGTTGGCGTCGCCGTCAGCATTGACATCGACATCGGCCGCGCTCGCCCTCAGGTCACCCGGCTCGGGCGACGTCAGCTGATCCAATGCCGGCGACTCGCTTGCCGCTGCTGTTGTGCGCTTCTTCTCGGCGGACTTTTCATGTTCGCCGTAAAGCCGACGCGTGGCATGACGCAGCTTGCCATGACGCTCGCGTCGCTCGACCGGCTTCTCCACCAGCTTCTTGGCGGAGCTGGAGAGCGGCGCAGTGGTAGCGATTCCAACTGCTGCTGCTGTTGTTGTTGTTGTTGCCTGCATAGTGCTCGCATCGTTGCTCAGCTCCAGCTCTGTCTTTAGCTCCACATCGCTTAGCTTGGGGCTTGACTCTTTGGCCCAATCCTGTGTTGCGTCTAATTCGCGCTCCCCCAACTCCATTTGTGCTGGCGTCGACTGTTGCTGCTGCTGCTGCTGCTGGCGCAGACGCTGGCGCTGCTTGGGCGGGCAGGCAGCAGGCGGCGACGCCAATGCGGCGGAATGTGCTACTGGCAACGTTTCCTCAACAAAGGGACGCGTCGACTCCAAATATGCGCGCTGTGCCGGCTCCAAGTTTGCAGCATATTGAGCCAGTTTGCGACTGCAGAGAGGTAAACGAAACGCACAGAAAATAAAACCAAAATGGGTTACCAAAAATCCCGAAATCAAAGCGCGCAATCAACCAAAAAAACTCTCACAAGAGAAACTACATCAAATTTCAAGTATGTAGTTAGATCGGATCATCGGACAATCGGACGAGCACTCAGCTCATATGAACTTTGAGCGCAATATAGATATATGTATGTACATATATATAGAGGTATATGTATGTCTTGCCAGCTGCAGGAGATACATGAACATTAAACTGTAAACAGTCCAACTGGCTGAGCTAACAATCAACAAACACATGTGGAAATAAGCAATTCGAGCAGTCTGCCTTTCGAATTGTAATAACATTGTCTATAATGTATATATTATATAGCTTCATATCTTCTCAGATTATAGCTCACAGAGTGTCAACTAGTCCTAACAAGAGCTCACACACTGAGTAGTAAATTTTGGGCATGTGTATAGCTCGTATAGATAGATAGATAGATATATAGATAGATAGATAGATAGATAGATAGATAGATAGATAGATAGATATATAGATAGATAGATAGATAGATAGATATATAGATATATAGATAGAGAGATAGATAGAGCAATCACATTCAATAGACCCTAGGGACAGCTATGTAGCGTACTAGCTAGATATGATTTCCTACATTATATATATACTCCTGTTTAACCTTTAACCTTTAGCCTAATCAGAATATGGTCATTCCAGTTAGGCACTCAGACAGTGCCTATGCTTTCTGCCCAAGACTTGTTATATAGGTTTTATATATTCATATAAATTCAGTCAATCAAATCAATCATGCATGAAGAGTGAAGCTTACACATTGAATACATCGTATGTGTCATCCAGCGGAGGACGTCCCCGTTTGCGTTTGGGTCCCAGAAACGGATCCGAGACGGTCGCTGGGCAGTCCAAGCCAGCGCTGGCACTGGGCAGGGGCGTCAAATCGGGCAACCGAGTGCCGGCATTCAGACCCAAGACATTATCCAGACCCGCTGGCGAATGGCGTTCACGTTCACGTTCACGGTCACGTTCACGTTCACGTTCACGTTCACGTTCCCTTTCCCGTTCCCGATCGCTGTGTGCGAGCGAGAGCTGTGGCTGTAGATGCGCCGCCTGCTGATTTACCAGATCGTGGCCATAGCTCTCAGCCAGACTGCGTGGAGGCGAATGGAACTCGGCAGCCGGCATCGGAGGTGGCGGCCCATCGTCGTCATCGCGCCAGGTAACCTCGGCGAGGCCCTTGATCTTCAGATCGTCAGCGGTCTTCAGCAGCGAGGGCAAGCTGGCCTGCAAACAGAGAGCTATAGCCATGGCTATATGTGGCTCAACCGCGACTCACATGCTCCACATTGATCTCGCCCTTATACATGAATTCGATGAGACACTTGACCTCGGCGAAGGTGACATCCTTCATGATGATGATCGGATCACGTTCGCTGGCATAATTCGACAGCACCGAGTCGAAGAAGGTGCTGCACGCACAGAGCACCACACGATGGGCCCTTATCAATTGGCCCTCGCAGGCGAGCGTCACATCGCAGAAGCATCCGCGGTCCAGCAGCTGCGAGAACATCGTCTGCAGATTGCTATGATGGTACTTCCAGCGCAGGCAATATTGCTGCGGCAGCATCGTGAACGATTCGAATGGCTCCGTTGCTCAACAATCTAAACAAATGGAAAAACCACAAATCCCATCAGTTTCACATTGCGTATATATATATATAAAACAAAACAAAACAAAACAAAAAAAACATCAATAAACAATCTGAAATTATTTGGAAATGCCGCCAAAGCAATTCGACAACCATAAGAACAACAAGACGATGGACGAGCTAAAGAACTTGGCAATTTCCAGTAATTGTTGTTATTTATAGGTCAATAGTTCATTGAAAACAAATAAAGAAAAACTTACGTCAAAAATCATCCATAGTATATAACTATATAACTATATCTAAGAATATTAACGTGATATTTACATATGTATGTATATAACATTTACGTATATTTATAACTGTAAATTTATCTATTTATACTTATATTTATACGGATAGTATTTGTATATATAGTATAGTTGGATAGTTCGGAGCTATAAATTTGAGGAATTTTAAGCCCTCTTTCACTTTTACAAATTGAACCCTTTTTTGTGTTTTATTTTGGGAAGGTTCTCAGCATATTTCTTCAAATTTTTTCATAATATTTTTATTGTAGGGGTAAAAAAAAAAAATAAAACAAGACTTTGCTTTTGCTGCTGTTATTTCTGTTCAACTTTAAGTGGAAAGCATGCCAACACACACTCTCACACACACACACACACACACACACAGGAAAGAAAGGACACACAGCCAGCCGCAAAGTTGAGAGAAAGGCAAAGACTGCTCAACTAAATGATATGCTGTAAATAATATTTTATATAATAAATGAAATAAAAAATAAAAAAATATAAGAAATAAATCATACAATATAAAGTATAAAATATAAAATATAAACTATAAAATTTAAAATATAAGATATAAAATATAAAATATAAAAATAAATATAGAACATAATATATAACATAGAAAAAAATAAAAATAAAAAATAGAAAATAGAAAAAATAAAATATAAAATATAGGTTATAAAATACAGAATTACCGGGTATCTAATGTGCTAGACCCAAATGGGCACAGCCAGCCAGGCCATTAGGACATCCCCTGCGGGTCACAAATACAAAAAAAAAGTAGTTCTCAACATTAAAAACAAACAGCAACAAAAACAAAAATGGCGATTCACTATTTAATTTCGAAAAGAAATTGACGCAAAGAATCAAGTGAAGAAGAAGAAGAAGAACAGATGAAGCAAAGCTGGCACATAAAGGAATTTGTGAAAAGTGCACCATATAGAAGACAATATATATAGACCGATGTATATATATAAAATTTTTTTTTTTACATACTTATAAATGCGTGTGCTTAAGGAAAAAAAATAGACATAACGAAGAAGAAGACAAAAATACCCAATGTCCGGCCACCCACAAGAAGGAAACACATTTGGCCAACTGCTTTTGCAGCAAAGGGTTTTTGATCCCAACACACACAGACACACACACACAAACATACACTTTATATGAGCCGTTACACATTTCAGCTCCTTAAAAAAAGAAATATATACATATATATGAAGGTATACACGATATATATGTGCATGCATACGTATATATATATATATATATAAATATATATAACAAAATAAAAAGAACGCAAAAATTTACAACGAGAGCGCAAAAAGAATGGCATATAAAAAATACATGTTTTATTGTAGTATATTTTTGCCGCCCAAGCACTACCCCCACAACGAACGTACGGCGCCAAGCCACCCCCATCCCCAGTCCCTTAAACAACCCCAACCTCAAACGAACCCAACTTGAACTCAAGGCCCCCCCCCCACACACACACACACACACTGAGAGAAAGAGGGAGAGAGAGAAAGCGAATGGCATTGCCTTCTCCACTTCTTTTGGTTTTTCTCATGGAAAATATTTTTCAGTTTTTATCACATTTTTCGTCTTCTTTGGATTTCGCTTTTTTACGTCTCGTTTTTTTATAACATTTTTTTAGTATTTTCTTCAATTTTTTTTTTCGTATTTTTTTTTGTGTTCCTGTTTTCTGTTATTATACTCTAACCATGCGACCATTTTAATTATGTTGAACGTTATGTTTCCCTACCTGTAGGGTATATACACGCTGAAATACTATATAGAGCTGAACGGGCTATTGTCTTTCCTAGGAGATGGAGGGAAGCTAAGAGTTCGAGGAAGTGTGATGGATAGAGAGGAAGAGATCGATAGAGTGGGAGAAAGATAGAAAGAGAGGGAGAGAAGGATATTGAGAGAGTGGGAGAGCGATAGAGATAGAGAGAAAGAGAGAGAGAGAGACGGCGAGAAAGAGGAAGAGAGAGGGAGGAATAAAGACAGAGACGAAGAGAGAGAGGAGAAAAGTAGTACGAGTGAGAGAGAGAGAGAGAAATAGCGAAACATATAGAGTAAGAGAGGGAGAGAGACATGGAGCAAGAGATATTGCAATAGAGAGATCGAGCCAGAGAGATAGTTATAGAGGAAGAGAGAGAGCATGAATGAGGGCGAATAGCTAAAATAAATGCACTAACTAATATACATAGATCATATTAGCTACGATCTACTTTATTTCAATCCAAATTCCTATTAAATACCAAAATAATACTAATAACTATTGAAATAAATACCAAATACCTTAAACTTAAGAGAAATTTAAAAAAATTTTAATTTAATTTAAATTTAATGATAAGATCTATAATATACCTATGCTTTTATTAAAGAACTTAGCCAAGGCATAAATGTATATAAATACTGTTAGAATACTAGTCATTGGCAGCGAAATGATATGTGCTTTGAGCTAGATTAGACGAGAGTTTAAGTTAGGTGAGAGTATTCCCATTGGCGACTTGCTTGGAAAAGCTTTTTCATCCTTTTTTGTTTTGTATTTTGTTTTTTTTTTTCTTTCTTTTTTCCAACTGTAAGGCAAGAAACGTCGTTGGCTTCATGAACGCAAGCGACGGATGGGGAGGGATGGGGCAGAAGGAAGAGAGCAGCGGCCACGGAGAGAACGGGAGCAAGAGAGAAGGGCGAGAGCGGGACGGTGAGGCAGGAAGAGAGGAGCGCGCTACGGTAGGGCCATGACGCAAAAAGGTTGCGAGCGGAAAATGAAAAAAAAAAAAGTTAGCAACAACAGCAACAGCGGCAGCAGCAGCGACGTCAACTGCGGCAGCAACAGCAGCAAAAAAAAAAAAAAAAAAAAAAAAAAAAAAAAAAAATAAAAATAAATAAATAAAACACAAAAAGCGCCAGAGAACATGGCAAAAGCGGAAAAAGCATAACGACCGTTGAGTTCTTTTTTCTCTTTCCTTTTTTTTTTTTTTTGCTTATTTTTATTATTATTATTTTCATTTTCTGTCTTTCTCCGCTCTTTTGTTGCTGCGCTTGTTGTTGTTGTTGTTGCCAGCTTTTTTAAGCTGTAATTTTTTACTTGACGGTTTTTTATGTTTTTTTTGCGCAATTTTATCCTTTTTTTTAAATATCGATTTTTATGTCAACTTAAATGAAAGGTACACAGTTTCCCATATACATATATACATACATACATATATATATATTGAAATATATAAATTTATTTATATGGAATTCTTTATATATGTATGTGTATTTACGTACATATATGCGAGTGTATACTTCAGTGCTATTAATTTTGATTCAAGCCTTCCCTCCCCCTCCCCCCTCCTCCCCACTTTACAGTTCCCGCTTGGACTTTGTTGCATTATTGAAATGTCCACGTCCGAGAGCTGAAGAAAGCAGAGCGAACGAAATCAAAAGCTCCGCTTAAGCAAACAAATGTAAAAAAATAAAAATCTTGCATAAAAGCTTCCCTTTATGATTGAAATGAATTAATTATCAAGGAAAAACGTAAGCTTCATAAAGCTAAAGCCGCAGAAAGTAAAGTAAGCTGAATTTCAATCAAATTTATTCACACATCACGACTTGATCGCATCAGAATACAAAAGAAAGCTAAGAATTTAAATTTTCTTGTCCGCTTGAAGCTTCTCATCAAATATTTTGAAAAATCAAAAGCTCAACCGAACCAAAGTTAATTTTCATTAAAATTTACTAGTGCATCATGATTGAGAGCTCTAGAAAGCAAGCGATTTAAAAGGCGAATAAAGAAATAAGATTTCAAAAAGCTTTTTAGTGTCAGAAATGAATCTATATCATGGCAAATCGTAGGCTGCTCGTTTTTTATACACAGTTGCATGAGCTTTCAATCAGAATTGATTGATACTTATGGCCAGCGATAGACATACTATATACATTATTTAGAGATGCAGAACTTGTACATGTAACAGTTACTAGATAGATGTGTATTCGAGCGTTACATTATGATTGATAGAAATAGAGTTAAGTCAATTTGATATACAGGTACACAGGAAATAGTAGATCTATGGATAAGATATATATCTAAGTAGATGATGATATAAATTGATTGCTGGAATCAATTCCAAAACTTTTGAAGCTCCAAGGGTGTATAAGATATGGCTTATCATCCTTATAAGCTAATTCAAGAGCTTTACACAGTAGGTGATTGATGAATGGTGATAGCACATATCATATAAATACATATGTACAATATATCACTACAATAATATTTATATTCTCTTAGATAGGAATTCAGTCTACCTGCATGGCGTGTACATCATGATTGATGACTGATTCACTATTCATATGTAGGCAATCAGTCAAAGTCATTTCCTAGGATTAACTACGTTTGGTTAAAGATAGTCATGCCATGATTGATATACATGATATGCATGATTGATAGCTTTCGTTACATCATACTAATCCTATTGATTGAGACGACACACCTGCACAAATTTGCACCGAATGCAGGACAAGTAAGTAATAGTCAGCTCATATACATACATATGTATGTTATATACCCGAACACACACACACACATATATATGTATGTGTTTGCACATATTTTTATATATATGTAAGTGGAATGTAAAAATCCGTTTTTCCCTCTGCCATCGCAATTTTCTTTCTTTTTCCAGATGCTTTTGTAATTTGTATAATTTTTTAACGTCGTCGTCGTCGTCGTTGT